AGCAAGTAATTTCCTATGCAGACAGTCTTTTTTTTTTTTTTTTTTTTTTTTTTTTCCCCTCTGGATAAGATAGAAAATAACACATGTACTGCTAAAAGACTTACCAGTTTCTCAAAAGTGAGGAATCACTAAATGATGCTGTTGCCATCACTCTTTGAAAAGAGGTAATACTTCTAGATGGAAAAATCACTGTCTGTTATCTTTTTTATGATCTCTCTCTCCTATATATTATTTAACAGTTCCTTCTGAGCTGAGAAACAGGTCTGGTTTTGAGAACAGTAATTCATTATTACATATTTTGCAAGCCTGTGTACATTTTCGTTACAGACATCTGATGGCAAGATGGTAAACGTGGAGAGATATGGAAAAGGAAACTTCTTAGGGGGAGAGAAAATTGACTCTCATAACTGTCATCCCTTCTATTTGCTGTGTCTTTCCTGTAATTGAAAATTGTAGAAAAATGTGTATTTGGGGGATTTTTAAATTATCATTTTAATTTATTTATTGTTGCTCTTCATTATTAACTGAGTGTTTTAAACAGGAGCATAATTACAGCACTTCTTTCTTGGAGCAGTGGAGGTAAACACTGACTTTAATCCTGTAGTTTGTGGAAATCATCTTGAAATCATGCTTGAAAAATTTGCTGTGAGATGCGGAGTTACAGGACTTCATGGCAGAACTGTGGGCTGGCCAGAACTGCAGTCATGTTGCTAGGGATTGTAAACCTATTAGAAGTGGAAGCTGCATTTGGAAAAATGTGGAAAGAGCTGATTTTGTTTTCTGAAGACCACATGCTGTTTTCTGTGGTAGCTTCTGCAGTCAGTAGATCAGTAGTCTTGAATAGTGCAAACTGCCAAGAATGCCCGGAGTCTCGTTGCCAAAGAGCAAGTGTGAGTATTATTTGAACACTAGTCTGTCATAATTATTTCAGTGTGATACACAACAGGAGGTGCCTGTCGTTCTTTTCAGTCTCCACGTACAGATAAACTTTGTATACTCCAGGGAGCTCTATTTTAATGTTTTACCTCTGTCTTCTGCTGTATTCACAGAAAGCCCTCGCTAAATTTAAAAGAGGTAAGAGTATTTCCTGGTGCAAACTTGCATTTTTACTTCTGTATGCTTTAAGGTCCTCATATCATCTTGTAATGTGTCGTCTGCCTTTTCCATCACTTCTCATCTTGGGCTTCTTTTGTCTTTGCCGTACTCTGTTAAGTGATACTGCGCCCACTTACAATAAGAATTAAAGCATAGACTTTTACTTAGGTTGTAATTAAAGCCTACTAAAATGAGGATTTCTCCCATATGTGTTTTGCTAGAGCTCAGGTTTCTCAGGATGCTGCCTTTCCAAGCAGGATCTCAAAGTTAAAAGTGTGGTGTCAGACCCTGCCTCAGACTTCTTATGCCTCATTTCTCCCTTGTGTACAAAGGAGAATTACTCTCATCTTTTGTTGTCTTTTAAGAGAATTATAGACAATTTTAACCTTCCTGATAAATTCGGAAACTTTGGCTTTTGAAGAAACTGTTGTCTTTTTATTGATTACATACTTACATTGGAGTTCCTGTAGCAGTGCTAATTTTGAACTAGAAATACTTTGTATCTCTGAGTGAAGCCTGCTATCCTTTGTAATGATACTTCTTCGGGTACTCAGGATAGTGGCAGCCCAAGTTATTTTGTGTCTTGACATCTCCCATATGCATCCAGCTCTGTACAACATTTAGTATCTGATCAGCCTCTAGGCAGCAAGTAGTTTTGACCCTTTCTTTCTTTTGCATACTGCAGGGTAATTGATACCTTAATGTATTCCTCGGAGTTGCTCCAAAATGCTGGTATTTTCTGTTCATTTCAGTTCAAATTTGAGCACTTTGTATTATGTTTCTCAAAGCACAACTGTTGTAGAGTAACTTACCTCATTTTGAGAATTGGTCATTTTGAGAGGCTTTCCAAGACCTTGATAAATCATGTGGATTTAACAGGATTTGCTGACATCTGAGATGTGTGCCAATTACAGTTATATTACACCTTTACCTTCTTCTTTTTTTTTCTTCTTCTTTTGCCATATTTTTATGCACATGCCATAACTGTTAGTAAGTCATCAAGCAGCTGATTTCCCAAAGAGCTTAAAGTTTAAAGTGTTGTTGCTTGCTTGATATTCTGAATTATTGTTTCCCATTCTTACTGGCTTTTTGGTTTTAATTTTTGTTTCACAGTGTTCCTGCACTGAAATAAGATTTTTGTTGCAGTTTGGTTGTCATTTTTTTTTTTCTTCGTATGTGTAGAAAGCACAAGAGGAAGAAAACAATCCCAAATAAAAAATTAATTAGCATTTATAAATGAGAAACATTTTTGGTATTTATAAATAAATATGTACATATGTATGCATGGTTATAACAGCTCTGATTGCTCCTGAAAAGTTGGCAGGGGAATCTCTTGGGGATCTCACAAGCTACTTAAAATTCTTCTGTATCAATACACACTTGATAATTGGATAATTACTAGCAATTAGCCTAAGGTCTTTAAGTAGCTTGCAAATGTTAAACAGTCTACTGAGTTTGAGGTGTGATGTATGTCTTTGTAAGGCACTTGTAACTGTCTAGCAGATCTGTCAGCTTGCATTTTGTATGGCAAGCCAGTAAGAAAGCAATGTTCTGTTTCTGCTAGAGGAAAAATACACGAGTAAAACTCAACAAGAGGCTACATGCATGTCAGGTAGAAGCCATGGTCTACATAACCACCCAGATAAAGGTAGATTTTATGGTCACTTTTTGAGTCTCACAGGAATAACCCCAGGATAAGAGACTGAATAAAAATATTGCCATTAAATATCAGTCGATTTCTTCTCTTTTCTTCTGGCCACCTGCACGGGCCAATCCTTCCTTCTAAAAAACAGCTCCGAAAAAAACTGACTTTTGAAGACTCTTGTTGTGGTTTGGAAGGAGGATTTTGTTTTCCTAGTCAAGCAGTTCTTGAAAGTCTTGAAGGAGCATGTAGCTCTGTGTTTTATTGAAGAGTATTGGGCAAGCAGTTATATCTGAGGGGTTTGCTGGCAGGAAGAGTGTGGACACTTTGCTCCTTGGTAGTTGTACGTGTTGGAATGAAGCAGCTCTTGTTCTTCTCCAGAAATGGCTGTCTGTCTGTCTTCCTGATGACAGTGGAAACAGGGCGAACCTTTTTGAGACACAGAACTGATTCTGGGTTGTTACGGAATTGGAAGTATCAGTTTGTAGCTCATTTATTTTTGGTGTTTCCTGTTTAATTCTTCAGATCATTCTTCTAAGAACTCTTACAGAAGCAGATTTGTTTTTGTTTTTTTAATTGCCCTCCACTCTTGCCCCAACATTTCTTACTATTTACCCATCTACACATACAAGAGCTACATCAGTCTATTTCCCCCTAGGATCACTCTGAGAACGCTGTCCATTCTGACTTCTTAATTCTTTTCAGTAGCTACTTTTAGAGGGGGGGGGAAGTTCCCTTTCTTTTTTTTTATTTAGTGTTGTGTTTTTTTTTTTTTTTTTTAATGATTTTTATTATTATTATTATTATTATTTTAAATATACCTAAGTTTACTAAGTGGTCCAGAGTACTCTGTATGACCTTACTGTACTCACTATTTTTCATGTCCCCAGTCCTTATATTTATTTCAGACCACTGATGAAAATTTCAGTCCTTGTGTCAGTTCTTGCAGACCCTACCTATATACATTTTGATTTGACACAGAGAGCAACTGACAAAATCTGTTAGTAGTTTCTTTGTAGTTCTTTTAATGTATTTTCTTTTTTTTCCTTCTCATATACCGTTCTGTCAGCCCCTCCATTTCATTAGCGAGAGAAACTCAAGCCTTCATCTGTCTCTTGTCTGCAGTAGTATCTTTCAAAATACTTAGGCTCCTCTTACCATACCCAAGCTCTCTTCCTTCAAACTCTTATTGAAATAAATATTCACTATGAGAGCAGGAAGAAATCAACGTATCACTCTTGTACTTGATGGCTGTCTATCTTTTTATTAAGCTACCATTTGATGAGCTGATGTTTTTGTGATGAATCAAACTGTAATAAAAACTCCTGTTATATTTTGTATTGGAAAATGATTATGAGTGCATTTAGAATTAATATTTTATATTCAGTTATTCTATTTTGTTGACTTTAGCTTGGTGCTTTATACTTAAGCTTCCAGTCATGCTTTTTTAGGAATAGAATATGATTATGAAATTTTTCAATGTATTTAATAGTTTGCAGAGACCATTAATGCAACCCTAAAAGTGATACATTTTGAAGATAGCAAGAAATGGAAATGTAACTCATTCTAGAGTGAATTTTATATTTACAGTTTCCTGTGACTAATTAAAACACCATTTGACTTGAGATTTTTAATCCCTCTGTACTCTAGTGCTATGTTCTACTTGTAAAGATGATGTCAGGCACAGTAAGACTCTTTATGCATTTGCTAACTTATTTGTATTTACTAGCTTATTTGTCACTGTCGCTTAGAACTTTGAAGATAAAAGAAATTACTCAAGTATACTCACACACACACGGATCTTCTCCTAAATTGTTAACAGTGATTAGCATTTTAGGTACATCTGGGTCGTTAATTATTAAAATAAAATTTAATTTTGTCAGTACTTGATTGTACTGACATTGCTTTTTGCATTCTCTATGAGTCTGGACTGCAGCCGGTGATTGTATACTGCTTCTTCAAATGGTTAAGTAGCTGCAGATGAGTAAAATGTTTTCTTGCTGTACATCCTAAATCAATATGGGGCATCACTGATTCTTGTTATGTAACTATCTCAGATTGCTGTCTGGGGCAAGCTATCCCTCAAACAGCTTAGTGCAGCTCTCTGCAGTGGACAAAAGAGACTTTTCTCTGTCTCTTGCCTTCATATATTTGCATTTTTGAGTTCAAAGTAGATCATAAAGAGAAACAAAGGTAGAAGTGCAGACCTGTTTAGAAGTAAGTTATCATATTGAATTATATTTCCTCTAATGCTTTTCTCTAGATTCCCTCTGGCCAAAGATTCGTGTTCCTCTGAAAGTTGTTAGGACTGCAGAAAACAAACTCAGTAACCGCTTCTTCCCCTACGATGAGATCGAAACAGAAGCAGTGTTGGCTATTGATGATGATATCATTATGCTAACCTCAGATGAGCTCCAATTTGGCTATGAGGTAAGAGAACTCTGTTTTTTTTTTCTTCTCTTACACTGTCCACTGCAACACGGTGTTTTTAAAGTGAAGGAAGGGTACTGCTGATTCAGTTTGTTGCATCTCAGTTTATTGTGGCATTTCAATGCTCTCTGACATGTTTTTACAGATTGCAATTACTTCATGGAAAACACTGCCCGCTAACAGAAAAATTTCAGTAATTGGCACAGTGAAACCAAGAGCTTCTAGAAAGCATTGCCTAATTTGTGTTGTGTAGATTTGTAATGGAAGTGGTCTGGAAACTGGGAATAGGATTCATTTAGTCAATTTCAAGAAGTTTCCTGATATGATGACTTTAGTGCTGTGTAGCTTAATATTTCAGATATTTCAGAGGAGATTTAGCAGGGATTACAAGGGTTGAAGTTCCATACCTTTGGACTCTGCCTTGCTGGCTGCTGTGATGTAGTCTCTTAAAATAAATTATTTGTTCGCTTGTCCCATTATCAAGCTGTTAACATTCATACACCTTAAAACAAAAATAACTGCTTTTCATCGGCCTCTTTACTGTAAAGCAGCATTTTCTGTGTTGGTAGGGGTACATTTCCATCACATTGATAGACAGGACAATTTTGAGAGATTAAGTGTTGGGAACAGAGGATGTCTCTTGGGGACATGCCGAAGTAAGGTAGAGTGCTGTGAAAAGAAGAAGTGAAGAATGTCAAGGAGATACATGTATCATATGCTTGAAATGGCAAAGCTTCAACAGCTGCTGTTGTAATGAGGATGTCAGCAAAGAGAAGGTTTCTCCAAATACCCATAGCAGTATGAATAGGTGAAAGTCTTCATAGACACGTTTTAGTTGTTCATCCAAAAGTACACTTGTTGAAAGCCACTCAGTTAATTTCCTTGCAAAACTCTGACTCAAATGAATTTTGTCTTCAATTTCTGAGTATATAACACAGTCCATAATACAACATGACTGTCCTGTACATGTGTAAGACAAACATGCTCTGTGAATAAATCATAAACTTTACGGAATGTAAGTTATGCTTAAGAATATTTCACACCTGTATCTGCAGTATCAAGAGCAAAACAACACTTAGCTTTGTATATGAGAGCTAGAACATAAAACAATTACCTAAGTTGAGTGTAATAATGGAAACTACTATTCAGAAGGGCAGAAAGCAAATGAAATGTGATAGTTGTATCATTTCTAATACTCAAATGGATTTGTTAACAAAAGAAGATATTTTTTCAGAAATGATGGAAGTATTCAATGTGAATATTTATGTGGTAAGATGCTTCTCACTGTCAAGTCAAAGAGCCTTAGCAAGCAACAAGTTTCTGGACTCAGGAAGTTATGTGTGGTAACGCAGGTATGTTGATACCATAACAAAGATGTTAGGAACAGGAGGCAGAGGTTTAATCTATTGTGTGTCTCAAGAAAGGAAATACTTCCCTTGCCGGGTTAATAGTAATGAGTTAGTGCATGGAGTGTGAAAGATAGAGTGAAGGGAAGACAACTGAGTTGAGGCTTTTTTGCGGCAACATATGCCTCTTCTGTCTACTCTGGTCACACCACAGAACATTTTAAGCACTGCATTACAGCAGCAAAGCAATGAAGTGTTGGCAGTTCTGCAAGCCACTTTACTTTTGTCCATTTGGTGCTTCTAACTACTACTTTGAGGGTGAACTGGTGTGATAAAAAAAAATAATAAAATCATAACGTGCATGCTGTATGAATTCTGGCTCCATTTCCAGTTTGATTTTCCTAGAGCTGGCTCGAAGTAAATAAGAATAAACCTAAGCAACAATGTAAGTAGTTACAAATGAATCTCTACTACTGGCAAAACAGGTTTGGAGGGCTTTGAAGCAGAATTTTCAACTGCACCACTGCAGCTGAGTTACAGTTGTGTCAGCCAGAAGTAATGAATTAGTACTGTGATGCTCAGGTGTCTGAAACATTAATTAGAACATCCTCTAATGAGAATATCTGTAACTTCGTATATGTTGAGTCTGGTGCCTTAAGCAGGAAAGTGTTACCCTCTTGCAAAAAGGTGAGGCAGAGAAAGTTGAAGTGAATTGCCCTGCGGCCAGTGTGGCAAGGTGACAGCTACGTCCCTGAACCTGACTGCTGGGCTGTGCTGGCTGATTTGTTGACCTTCTGTTGGCTTCAGGCTCTGCCTGAGCAACGGGCCTTGTGTTTGGTGTCTGCTTGGACAAGTAATTGCTTACACTGGCAGAATAAAAACTTTTTTATTATAAATCTTACTCCTTTTTAATTTTGAGAATTTATCCTAGTACACAGACACATAGATGGAAAATTGAAATGTCTTATTGATAGTCGAGACAAACCCATGGGAAGCTTAAACTCTTACATTTTGAGATTGCTTCCTCCCCCCTCCCCCGTAAAATAAATGAGTAAAAATGTCTTTGAATACAGAAGCACAGTGGATTATTTTATAAATATACAGTTTTCCTCTTAAGAAGGGTGAGTGATGTAGTTCCTACTCTCTGGCACAGAAATCGGGGGCTGAAGATTGATCTTTCCTGTCCCTGAGTGTCTGTGACTTGTTTGACAAGCCTGAGCTGGCTCCCAGATGTTTGAATTGTCCTCAGCCTGTGATAATTTATTTATCTGTTTATGTGTGTTACCAGAAAAGTATCTCTCAGACTCTTGACTCATTTGCAGGAGAATCCAGAGGGAACAGTAGCAGCATATAATGTTACTAGAAAGTTTTCTTTTAAAAGTTTTTCTGCTTCTGCTTTGGTTACAAGAAGGGTTGGAAACGTGACATTTTGTAATTTTCTCTTCTCCTCCTGACATCCTTAGACCTTACATTTAAACATATGGCCAAATCCTCTCTGTCACAGACTTGTCTGAATGTACAGGGCAAGCCTAAAAAAAACCAGAAGCTTTGATCTCGGTACACTTTCAGCCATAAAAAATTATAGTAACACTCAAAGTGTCAGACATTTTTTACTTGTTAAAAGTGAGCTATTATGGTACAGTGATTTATTGCAGAGCATAAATCTATTGGAGCAAGCAGAAAAATAGTCCCTGTGTGCTGCTGCATTAAAGTAGCATAAGAATACTCAGGACGTTCTGACTTATGAAAAAAGACTACTTCTGTACGTTACATAGTGAAATCACAGACATGGCTTGAGGCACTGGAAATAATCTGCTGGGGCTGGATCATTTTTCATAATTACCAATCTTTGTTTTTCACAGAGAGAGTATCAGAAAGCCAAGAAAAGGAGCAAGTATGTAAAATATCGTAATCCTAAAAAATTAAAGCAGAATTGTTGGCTGCTCCTAAAGTGTTTGGTGTTTGAATGAGAGACTGAGAGCATGCATTCTAGTATTCCCACCTCTGAGCCTCAGCTGGCCCCAGGGCAGATTGCTAGCATTTCTGTCAATCTGAAAAAGGGGATAATGGCTTCCAAGTACGAAGTTCATGAAGATATCTTATTAGGTAGTTACAAAGTTATTGTTCGGTATCCTTACGAAGTATTTTTATTAAAACAATATTAAAAAAAAAATAATCTAAATTGGGATTGTTGAGTGCATTTTCCTTGTAGAGAAAATAGTTTAGTGCATTACTACATTTCTGTTTTTTTGTGTTGTTATTGTTGGAAACTTTTTGCCTACTGTGAGTAGAATCATTGAATGGACCTCAAAGATCATCCAGTTCCAACCCCCTTCCACGGGAAAGTTTGCCAACCACTAAGTTAGGCTGCCTAGGGCTGCATCCAGCCTGGCCTAAAGCACCTCCAGGAATGGGGCACCCACAGCTCTCTGGGCAGCAGAGCCAGGGCCTCATAGCCCTCTGACTGAAAAATTTCCCCTGACATCTAACCTGGATCACCCCTCTTTTAGTTCAGAACTGTTCAGTGATCTTATCTGTCTCAGAGCTCAATTTTTCTTTAAATTGTGGAGGATAGCCAGTGTTCCATTCTTAAAGTGTTGCTGGGTAGCGTTGGAAACAGTGACTGTGTTCAGTTTATACAACTAGAAAATTTAAGAATTTCAATTAGTTTTTTTTTTTGTTATTGTTTGTTGTTTTTTTTTTTTTTAATCTGGGAGATGGTTCATCCAAAAATGTTTAATTTTGCTGTTGTCCAGCAGAGTCTTTGAATAGCTCTGTCTGCAAAGAAGTATACCTCCTCTTCACTTGGCAATATGTTCTTCCCTGGCTGTGTCCCTTAGCAGTATTAACTCAAGCCATCCTTCTTTAGCCTGTGAAAGCTAATAAGATCACTGTCTGCCATGGAATGTATTCCTAACAGACTGAAAATTTATAGGCAACCATCAAACAAGAAAATTAACTGCAAAAAAGGGAGTAGTATAAGAAAAATTACCACTTTTCCTATTCTGAAAGCTTTCTTATAAGCAGTAGCCGTACATAATAATTTTGGCACAAAACATTTGTATGGGTTTGGGCAGTGAGCTGGATGCAGCTATTTGGAGCCTTTCCCAGAGTTAGCTTTGAATGAGCCAGTGATGAGCATTAAGAAGAAGCCAAGCTTTTCCACTGACTTAGATAGCATTACTTTTAAAAGGAATCTTTGTTTAATACAACTAAGTTATTTTAAAGTGCATCAAACTGACAATTTTCAGAGGCCAGAGCTGGGGTAATGTGGAGCTTTATGGTGATAGAAAGGAATCTGTATTAGTAACATGCATTTTATCGGCTTTTATTTTATGTTGTTTGGACTCTTTGAGATGACACTGAGAGCTAAAACTGGAAAGAATATGAATCTGCTGTTGAGTGTTGTGAAGGCACTGAAGTCCCTTGGGGAGCAGTAGCTGAGTTTAATCTTTCCTTCAGCTGCATTTAATATGCGTGTCATTCCCTTTACGAGGATTCTTAGCCCGGTGTGGTACAGATCTGTAGTGTTCTGTCAAATTCTTTGCTGATCCTCAGTAGCTTTGGTGGTGGTGTCTTCTAACAGCTGTGAAATGAGGGTTTTAATAGTAAATCAATAATAATAAAACCAGCAAAATATAACCATTAAATTTTTAGACCTAGAGAGTAAGGAATAAAATCTCGAAAAAGAGAGTGGCTATACCTTTGTCTTTTTGCTCTTTGTTAGTGTCATGTCTTGTCACAATAGGTATCTCAATTCCTCACCGTCTTCTCTGGATTTCTTTTATATTATTGTTTCTTGGTTTATGATTAGTTGGTGACAACAATTCATAACAACATAACAATGTTTTTTGAGTTCCAGATCGTCTCTGCTTTTAAGAGCCATCTGTTGGATGGTTGTCCTATCTAAATACTGTCCCAGTACCTGTGCCCTAGAACTGTCCAGAAAGATTGATTTCTGGTTAAAGTACAAGACAGAGAATCAGAAGATCTGGTTCCCATTCTTGTTTCCCATGCAATTTTTTGGCAGGTTTCCTCATCTGTATGTTTGAAATAATAACCTCTCTCATCACGGGATTCTGAAGCTATATTAACTGACAGCAATAAAAATGTGTTGAGATGTGTAGATGAAAAGGTATATATTAATGCAGAAGCATAGAAACATAGATACAGAAGCAGTAAATTAATGCTGATTATTGTGTTGCTTTGACTGGATACGCTTGCACAGAGTCCTATACAATCCAGGCTTCTAGCTGAAACATACTGGCACATGGCAAGTGCCCTCAGTGAACTGTGCTGGCAAAGTTAGGTTTGCAGTATTGTGGAATTCCAGATGACGCTTTCTCTACCGCAAATTCAACTGTAGGGTTTCTTGGTGTTTTGTTCAGAGAAAAAAAAATTTGCATGTAAAGTGACTCTTGGGAATTGTTGTTGTTGATCTGGCATACTCACTGAAATTTGGATATGTGTTTGTTTACTTACGCATTACCAATCTGAAACAGAAACTCTTGTGGCTTAACACTGCGTGTTGAAGAGTCAAGACACCCATTTTTCCAACAAATCTAGAAGTTCTTTGGATCAAAATAAAGGACATGTTTTGAATAATTTGTCTACAAATAATGCAGATAAATATTGACTCTGCTATTGATTATTAAAAGGCATGCAGTGTATTTAGCAAGCAATCAGCATTCAGACTCCTCTTAGTAATCATAATCCTTTCTCTCTTTTTTCTTATGCAAAAATTATCCATTATTTAATGTGGCCAGAAGTGTAGAGAACTGAGGTTGCATTAATGATGCCCTTCTCCTTGTTCTTGTCTACTGTGTTTGATCCTGTAGTCAGCTTCAAAATAATGTATGAAGTGACAAGGATGGTATTTTGATTGTATCCAGCTGTTTGGAACAAGTCAAGGGCAAAGAGGCCCTCCATGTAGCAGTAGATCCATCCAAGCACCCATTAAAGAACACCAGAAATATTAAAACATAAGTTGATTTTAAGCCTATTCCTATTAAAGGAAGCAGGTTGGTTAGATCCAAAGCCAGCTGTGAAAGTAGTTAGACTGCAGCCGTATCTACTGATTTTAACATCAGAAGTTCCATTTTAGTCGTGCTTGGTTTTAATTAGTGTTAAAATCTTTTTGAATAATTGGTTGCATTTCTCTACAAGAAGAAAGTCATATGGCTTAGAGGTTGTTTGCTCTGAACTACAGCATCCCTGAAGTGCTGGGTCCTTCCAGAGCAAGCTCTGGGATTTTTGTACTTTTTCCAGTCATCTTCTGATTTCAAGAATTAGGACTTATGAGATTTGAAATGGTCTTTGCCCCATGGTACTGGCACCCTCCCAAAAGTAGACATTTTCATCTGGACATTCATATTTACTATGCAAGAAAATTTACTACAGTGTTCTTCTTCTCTTCTTGTTCTCTTTAGGTTTGGCGTGAGTTCCCAGATAGGTTGGTTGGATATCCAGGTCGACTGCATCTTTGGGACCATGAGATGAACAAATGGAAGTATGAATCTGAATGGACCAATGAAGTCTCAATGGTGCTCACTGGGGCAGCATTTTATCACAAGGTATCCGTAACGTGCAGCTCGTGGTATACAACATGAACCACTCCTTAACTGTATTCTGTGTCTTGTGGTGCCATAATAGTGTTCTGCATCAAACAGAAAACCAGTTGCCATCTTTTCCTAAGACTCCTACTCTTCCTGTGGAAACAACTGGTTTGTTTCTGTGGAAAAAAACAACTGTTACTTTCAGAAAGATACAGAAGAACTGTTGTTGGTTTGCCTGACCAGTAAGAACATAACATATTTTGCAATGAATGTAGCTTTGTAACTAGGAGTTTAAGGAAAGAAAACACACACACAACTGCCACCCCACAATTAATTGTACAGAAATCAGTGTGCTGCACAGGAATGGAATAATTATGAACCTAAAACATCCAAAAATGTTTCTCATCTGCTAGAGCAGTCCTTGGCTGAAGGCAGTATCACAGTTTGTCCATAATCCATCCTTAGCTGCCTGCTGTTTGAGAGACTGAAAGATTTAGTGTCTCATAGTTACTGCATCTGTATTTAAAATTATCTTCTCTCCTTTTCCATCTGTTCTGCAGTATTTCAACTATCTTTACACCTACAAAATGCCTGGAGATATCAAGAATTGGGTGGATGCCCATATGAACTGTGAAGATATTGCCATGAATTTCCTAGTGGCAAATGTCACTGGCAAATCAGTCATTAAGGTAAGACTTTTCCACAGTTTAACTCTACAAAGTTCAAAAACATGTACATATTCATGTAAATGAAGATCATGGAAGAAAATGCAGAAGATCCTCCTGGAAGCTATGCTAGATAAACAGAAGAGAGGAAGGTGATATGGGATAACCAGCATAGCTGCATCAAGGGTAGGTTCTGCCCGACCAAACTTAATGCTTTTTATGATGGTGTTAACTGTGTCAGTGGACAAGAGAGGAGCCTGAACTTCAGTAAGGCCTTTGGCATGGTCCTTCCTGGAATCCTCAGAGTTGAAGGAGTCCTCTAAAGGCCATCTAGTCCAACTCCTCTGCAGTGATCAGGGACACCGCAGCTAGATCAGGCTGCCCAGGGCCTTATCAGCCTCGCCTTGAAAGTCTCTGGGAATGGAGCATCAACGACATCACTAGGCAACCTGTTCCTGTGCCTCACCACCCTCACTGTAAAAGATTTTTTCTCTATATCTAACTTAAATCTTTGAGATTGATTATTAAAAAAAGCATCAGCCTTCACAGTAGAACAAAGAGGCTGAGGCTCTGAGCTCAGGCACTCATGGAAATGAGCAGAGAAGCAGAACTCTTTTCTGTTTTTTCAACTGGTTCCTCATAAATCCTTCTCTCCATGTTAGAAGGATATGGATCTGATGGTGGACTGTTTGATGGATGAGGAACTGATTGTGAGATCGTTCCCAGAGAGTGGTGGTCTATGGCTCAATATCTGGATGAAGATCAGTGACAAGTGGTGTCCCTCAGGGATCAGTACTGAAACCAGTACTCTTCAACATCTTCATCAATGACATTGACAGTGGGATCAAGTGCACCTTGGATGATGCCAAACTGCGTGGTGCAACACATTTAAGGGACAGAATGCCATTCAGTGAGACCTAGACATGCTGGAGCTGTGGGTCTGAGTGAACTTCCTGAGGTTCAATAAATCCAAGTGCAGAGTCTTGCACCTGGGTCATGGCAATCCCCACTATCAGTACAGGCTGGGAGATGTAAGGATAGAGCATAGTTCTGCTGAAAAGGACTTGGGGGTATTGGAAGATGGTGAGCGGGACGTGAGCTAGCAATGTGCCCTTGCAGCCCAGAAAGTCAGTGATATCCTGGGCTACATCAAAAGAAGTGTGATGAGCGGGGTGAGGGAGGTGATACCGCATTTCTGCTCTGTGCTGGTGAGACCTCACCTGGAGTACTGTGTCCAGATGGGGAGCTCTCAGTAAGTACTGAGGATCTGTTAGAGCACATCCAGAAAAAATGGTCCAAGGGATAGAACACCTCCCCTGAATGGACAAGCTGAGAGAGCTGTCTGGAGCCTGGAGAAGAGAAGGCTCTGGGGAGACCTGATAGTGGCCTTTCAGTATCTAGAGGGGGGCTGTAAGAACAAAGGGGACAAAATCTTTAGCAGGGCTGTTGTGGTAGGACAAGGAGAAATGGTTCCAAACTAAATGAGGGGAGATTTACATTGGACTTAATAAAGAAGTTTTTCTACAATAAGGGTGGTGAGGCACTGGAACAGCTTGCCCAGAGAGGTGATGGAAGCTCCATCATTGGAGATGTTCAAGGTCAGGCTGGGCAGGGCTCTGAGCACCCTAATCTGCCTGTCGGTGTCCCTGTTCATTCCAGCGAAGTTGCACTAGATGACCTTTAAATATCCCTTCCAACTCAAAAGTTACTGTGATTCTTAGTTTATTTAGGAAATTTGAGTATATTACTCAATCTTCTTCTCTCCTTTGCCTGTGGTATGGTTCCTGATTCTACTTCCATAGCAGGAAAGGCTGGTTTTAGTAAAAAATTTATGCTAACTGGAAACATAGAATTCTTTTTTACCATTTGCTTCTGGTGGTTATTTTGAACAACCAGATGAGGTATGAAGAAGGTAATTTAAATGATAGCTATATATATACATACACACCAGCCAGCATGCGTGCAATTTAACTATTTGAGGTCACTGAAGGAAAAAAACAGCCAACTGTCCGCAGCTCTCTGTCTTGGTCTAGCGACAGCTGATTTATAGGAATGTTAATTGCAAGAATGTTAATTGCAAGATCAGCTTTAAATGAACTTTTTATCCCTGAATTAATTTCCTGACATGTTTCGACACGTTTTCAAGTCTGGACATTCACTCTGTACGTTCATTTCAAAGTGTGTCAACCTGGAATGAGATTTAGAGGCCACCAGGCGTTACTTCAATTAGCAGGGTCTGCTTTCCCTTCTGTCCATCATCATTTACTGGGACTGGTGGCTGCATTTCCTAGAAAAGTCTTTAGAAGATAAAGCGTGCGTTTTTGCTGAAAAAAAGTTTTTGAGCTGTATGAGGGCACAGCAGAGTAATTTGGCACCTCTGTGCGATTTGGAGAGCCTTGCAGAGTTTGCCAGTCAGCTATTAACTGGAGTGAGCAAAAGAGCGTCTGTTGGATTAACGTTACGGTGAAGTATGGGAAGCTATATTTCATCGCTGTTATGGCTGCAAGAACAAATGGTGTTTATACAGGGACCTTGGCAGTGAGAAAACAGTCATTAAACAGGAATTAAGGAGCTTGTCATCGCCACTTCTTTTCAGTTACAGAAGGAAAAACCCCTCCAAGCCGTTTTTATTGGGCCCCTGTGAATTTTGCAGTCAGCCAGGCCAGATGGAGCTGAATGGGGGAATGGAGTGGTTCTTTTTTTTTTTTTTTTTTAATTCTCCCCCCTTCCCCCCCTCCCTTTATGAGACAGCTCAGTTTACACTGCAGGCATGTTCAGAAGTATTGCACTGCTCTCTGTGCAAGGAGATTAATGTCCCTTCTGTTGATATTTGATGGTATCTGGCATGCCTTTATGCAGGTGACCCCACGGAAGAAGTTCAAATGTCCAGAATGCACAGCAATCGATGGGTTATCACTGGACCAGACACACATGGTGGAAAGGTGAGTGACCACTCTTTCTTCCTCTGATTGCTAGAATCTTATCCAAAGTTGCATTAAATTAGGATCAAAAACACTCGCTGATTGTATTTCTGTAAAATACTATTTTTAAAGAATGTCTCCTGGATTTGATCAACGTAAGTCATTCCCACAGTGGATAATGGGGCACTGAAAAGTGGAGTAATGCAAGAAAGAACCTTAGAAAGGGTACTATTTTTAGCAGATTTGCTGTAAAGTGTATTGGTCGTATATGAAATACAGGTTGTTTGCAGTGTTTTCAGTAATGTCACGTTTCTATTTTATCAGGGAATGTAATTGTATCATGGAGCAGTAATGAGTATGAGGGTTTTTTTTTTTAATCCAGCCAGTTTGCTTGCTTACTGAAGAATGGTTGACTAACAAGGATATAAATTGCTAATAATGTTATTTGCATTGTTGTTTGTACATTATCTTTCTGAATTGCATTGTTTCCATTAATGAAAGGCATTTCTCTGCACAATTGCATGTGGTGTTTTCTAACAATGGCAGTAATATTATATTTTGTGAGAATTTTATTTTGAAATGAAGTATGTGTTTGCAAAGGGCAGCGAATGCTTAGTGAAATACTGTAAGCTGGATAACTGTAAGAGTTCCATTTCTCTCTTTATAGTAAAATGGCTTCCTAACCATGGCCAAGCACTAAGCTTCCCTCTACGCTGGCTACTAAATACTTGAAATAAGGAAAACATTGCTCCCTTTCACAAAGCTCTTTCAGTTGCTGTTTGAAAAGAGCTGAGAATAGATGTACATTAATTATTATTAGGTAAAATTAACCAGCAACTGACAAAGGCTTTTCCCCTCAAGCTTCTTAGCCTGTAGCATCTCCTCCACAAGCTTTGTGGAAAAATTTCGTGCAGCCATACAATTGCTGGGGGAATTGTGAGCAGGTAGGCTGAGCTAGTTACGTGTGCTGATATCCAGGGACCATCCTGCTCTTTGTGAAACAAGTAGTTTATTCTACGTGTCATGGATATAGAATTGATACATATCAAAATGTGTCCAGTGAACGAATGTAAAACTGGTTAGTAGGCTGGAGGCCTATTTGTATAAGAGTATATGCATGCATCTGTTTAATGTATAAACACGCATTGCACAGCGCACACAAGTACAAACATAGTTTGGCTGGTTAATAACCAAGCGTGGTGCCAGGCACTGAAGACTGTAACTACCACAGTTAGTGCCTAGATATTTGGACTGGATGTATAATAAGGCTAGCTTAAAAAAAAATAAAAATAAAAATCTGGAAGTCAGTTGTAAAAGCTACCCGTGGAGATAGTGAACATTATTCTGCAGTGAACTCCTTTAGAAAGGATCAGGAGGCTCTTAAATGTTAGCTGAAAGAAGAACAGGAGGATGTCATTTATCTAGCTGCTCTGAGCTGGCTTGCAGAATAGACTCCCAGAACCCAGGTAAGCTTTCCTATGATCGTGCTATTAGCATTACAACAGTGTGTAGGAATTTCAGTCATGAAGTAGGTTCTCATTAAGGTTAGCACTATAAAAACAGAAGATGAAAAAGCGATCTTTCCTCAGAGTGCATTATGATGCAGGGTAAAGGTCATTTTTCCATGTCTCCGGCAATTCTTGTGTTCTCAAAGTTAAGTATCTTTGACAGTTTATCCAGACCATGTTTAAACTGTTGCATTGCTTCTCCACCTTAGTTTCTGACAGTGACAGTAACTGAGATGTAACTGAAATGTTACACTGACTGCACAACCACATGTTTCATTTGTCCTTTCAAAGGTGCAAATACTGCCATGGCGTCTGGGTGCAGGAGAAAAGCTGGTGGTATACGGTTTATGTATTCATGCTTCATTGTGAAAATCATAAATTCCAAGAGTACACGCTACACCTAGCAGCTTTTCATCCCATATTGCTATTTTTACCTGCCTTCAACTTGTGCAAGTTATTTGAAAATTTGAAATTTTTTTTTTCTTTTTTTCTTTCATTTTTCTTTCGTCTTCTACACTAACTATTCATTTAAAGTGCATAAAAATGGTAGTGACTTCTAAAGCAAATTTTCCTAATAGCTAATTTCCTGAGTAATGCTCATATAAATACGTTATTTCTGCTAGTTAAGAGGGTAAATGGAGAAGGTATATACGTCAGGGAGTACTTGTCATATTATGAAACAATAACTTGGTACATTACAATGTTGGATACCCAGAACAATGCCTGGGGCATCATGCAAAGAGCAGTTATCAGCTTCACTTGAAGCTTCTCCAAATGCCTGGCTCTTGTTTATTATCATTCGCAGATTGTGAGTAGCCTGAGCTAGTTTCTTGCCCAGATATCCAGGGATCATCCTGCTGTTTGCGAAACAAATGGGTTTTTGTTTCTGAAATAGCAAGAGATGCACAGCAACTGCCTGGTGATTGTTTTGTAAGTGAAGAAAGGGCTGAGATTTTAGTTGTGGAGATCTGTCCAGGAAGGTCGGTTCTGTTGAGTGCTTTGTTGCTCCCAGCAGAGACAAAGGAAAGATGACAACAGATGAACTTTCTCTTTTTTTAATTTTTTTCTTTCCACTAATACAGATGGCTGTTAATAGTGAATAACTGGAAAGGCAACACAGCTATTCTTCCTGCTATGTAATTTCTCTGCAATAAATAAAAGACTTCAGACCACAGGGTTATTGAGCTCCATCATTAAAATACTTTAGCTCAAGAAAGCTGTGAACAACAAGTCACCTGCTTGCCCTAGGTTGGCCTCTACAACAGATCGAAGAAGCTTTAGATCTTTAGATCTTTTAATCCCTGTACGTACAGGTGCTGTTTAAATAGCAACAAGTTTTCTGCATTTAGCATTTTTGCACCTGGTTTTCAAAAAAAATTAAGAACTTTATAAAATGCAGCTTGGATGGTGACTGTATGTACAGTAAATCTAGCAAAGAGTTGAGCTGCTTCTGCAGCAAAGATGACTGTGGTGTTCTATTTATTGAAGTCAAAATAGTACAACTTTCCTTCAAGGGGCAAACTGAGCAGATAGTAGATCCAAAGAGTGTGGCTGTGGAGTTACCCTCACCAAAAATGTTTGAATTGCAAAGTTGAAGAAGCTGGGAGACCTTAACAGGTACGAAGTTGATCCAGTCTGACAGGGACAACAGGGCTCCCAGTTTCTTGGTTCACACTAACTGAATTCCTTGTTGAGTGCAACTGCACCTTGTCAGCAGAGCAAGGGAAAAATGAATAATTGTGGGAAGAAAAGATGCCTCTGTTAGTGTGAATTTGCAGAGCTAACAACACAGCCAAGAAAAACACCTACACTCCATATAAGACAACATGTTATGTTTTTTTGGCTTCCTGTTTCTGAATGTTTAGTGTGCTAGATGTCCTTTCTGTTTTATATTATCTGAAAGTGGCAAATACTTGAGCATTCAAGTGGTTTAGTTCAGTGAAGGAGATGAATTTTTCTTGAAAGAGGCAACTTTCCTTCAAACACATGTTGTGGTTTGTGTGCGACGTTTCTTCCACCCAAAAAACTGCCTCTGCTATTTGAGTTTGATGTTTCTTGAGGACTAGCTTTTCTGATTAGAAGGTAGTTATTTTGCCATTTTTTCATTTTAACATTTCTTTAACAACCAAGTGTTGATTTCTCATTGGTGAAAGATGTTATACTGATATGCCTGGTCTTACCATGAAATGATTTTGGCTGTAGAGGGTGTCCATCTTAGTATTTCTCCAAGACCTCAAATTCAATTTAATTTTGTGACCTCTGGGAGAAGAGAACAGTTGGATCTCCACTGTCTAATTGGTTTTATGTTCTGCTCAGAGGATGCTGCTTAGTTCCGCCTGTGACAATGTTGGCTGTGACATGGACACCTGCCAACCTGGCAGCAGGCTGAGATAACTAATTCATTTCACACAGGCCACCAAGCAGCTGTTACATTACAATGTCTTTCAGTCATTCTTGGCAGAGGCAGGTTTGAACCAGTGGAGTAGAAGTAAAAGGCCTTGTATTCCAGAAACCAGTGAGGCATAGCAGCTGTGCAGGCTTCTCATATGCACATCTACCTCCTAGCCTGTGAAGTCTGGGCTTTCCTGTTATGGAACAACTCTGACTGCAGTTTGCCACTGCATGGTTTCCTCTTCCTCTCTGAGCTCCTTTTTGGTTATTTCTTAGCACAAGGATTTGAACCCAGAGGTAGAGTAGGAAGAAGTGTGAGGACACGAGAAGATAGCAGAAAGGGAAATATCTGTATTTGTTTGTATTAAGTGTTTTATTCATGTGTCGCCCATTACGTCGTTTTCTGACTCTCCTCAGGCCAGGGAGGAGATTAAAAATAGCTGTGTGGAGATGTAGCTCTGCAACAACTTGAACTCTGTGTTTTTCAGTCATTTGCTCTAGCTAAGGAGAGAGCCATGGAATGGCTGAGAGGCAGAGGAATTAATTTTGAAAAACATTTTTGCTGTCCCAATCTACTTCAAAAGAGTGTTTGGATCAGTGTTGAGCAGTCTCCATCTCAAAACTGTCACACTCAGTTGGTGTGATTGACTGGGTCTGCTCAAGAAAGTGATCTCAGAGCCATCGTGACCCCCTAACCCTCCGAAGGGGTCGGGAAGGGAAAGCAGCGATTCCAGAGAGAGAGGCCTGCTCCAGGATGCCTGCAGCACAGCAGCCTCTCCAGCTGAATCAGAGCACTCCTCTCTCTTCGTTTCCGAACGGCAGCAGAAATGTTGTTGTAGTATTACATCTTGGGGACTGTCATCGTGGTTCTCAGTGTCTGAATTTTTTAAGAGCTTCATTATGAAGTAGGCAGGTAATGTTAGCTGAGTGCCGACTGAGGTGAAATTAGCCACATTTTCCTTGCCTTGCTGCCACAGGTAGCACATCTTTCAGTGAAAGAGCTAAAGGAGCACTGTAAGGTTAAACATCTGTTTGCTTGGCTTTTGGAACACATGGCTGCTCCCTTTCACAGCATTACTGACACCTAAAATTGTTAAAACTGGAAGTATTGTCAGTGGTCTGATCTCCTTTGTGCTAATGTGGTGCCTCACTGCTCAATGTCATTATTTAGACAAGGAAAATAAGCTAGTTGATTTTGTTTTAGTTTTTATTCAGCTTTACCTTTGAGTTGCAGTATAATCAATGCCACATATAGAATACAGCATGCTTATTTTTCTGGGAAGCTTCTGAAGAAGTCTGAAAAAAATGAGATTTTTTGTAGAAATTCATTTTCAGGGAGACTTGTTTTTTTTGCAAAACTCTCGTTAGGAGCCAAACCAACCCAATAGTGGCCCTTTAAGAGACATGTTGGCAGTTAATCTGTTCTGGTTTACAGCATGTACATTGCTTGAAGAATGACTGGAATTCTAGGGGGAGGGAAAGGGGAAGCTTTGACCTCCATGTGCACATGTGCTGCTGCCGGCATCCCCTTGCTCTTCTCTGTGATTAAATGGATAAATCAAAAAACACCAACTTCTCTTCGGTTCTCTCTGTGATGAGAGAACTGATGGCCAACATGGCTAAAATACTTCGAAACAGATGAGGGAAGGTTACCGAGTTATTTTTCTACAAGTTATGTTGGTGTGGGAGCTGGTAACCAGCCTGGTTGTGGGGGTTCTTAATCACACTGCTTTCCCTTTCACCAGATCTGAATGCATCAATAAGTTTGCCTCTGTCTTTGGGACCATGCCTCTGAAAGTGGTGGAGCACCGTGCTGATCCTGTTCTGTATAAAGATGACTTTCCTGAGAAACTGAAGAGCTTTCCCAATATCGGCAGCTTGTGAAGGCAGCTGTGAGACAAACCTGAGCACTGAAAACACCAGCAGAAGAGGTACTAAGAAGAATATAAGGCTCTGAAAGAAAGAAAAAAAAAAAGCTAGAGAGTGGGTTATATCTGAGGGAGATGGCAATTAATGTATTCTGGTGCACTGTCCTCCTTTTATATTGCACTAAGATGTAGTGAAAAGCTGGACAACTCCTTCTCTGTTGCTCGTAGAGGATTGAATCTATTGACAAGTCCTATCAGAACTGTCAAACAAACAACAAAGGAGGCTGTGCACCTGGGAGAATAAAACTGAGTTTCTCTCTGTGGTGTGACTGTCTTCTTCAATTCAATGTGCTATGGCCCTCTGGTTTGTAAGCATCCATCCATCTGAAGCAACTGTCTCTGCATGTATGGTGCTTTTTTGGGAGAGCCTATTTTCTGGGTGGTTGGTGGACTTCTGCTTAATTTTGGTCTTACGTACCTACGTAACAAACATTTTTTTTCTGGTTAGTGGGACAAATGTTTATTTTTTTTACAATATCAACAACAAAAATCAGTATTTTGCTACGTGGTTTAAAAACCTTTTTCTTTTTTATACAAATTGAGGCACGCAGCAGGATGGTCATTAATGCAGAGAGCTGCAGGATACAACTCCACTTGCTGTAGCCTTCCTTTCTGCATAAATCTCAGGTTTTCTTCTGCATCAATGCAAGAGACTGGGAGTCTATGTCAAAACTAGTTGTATTGTACAGAAAGAAACGTGTCTTTCTCTATGTTTGTTTTTCGTTATTCAGCAGAGCAGCCAGGTAACAATTTTACATCACAGTCATGTGTTGCAACAGCAGCTATAAAGTAAAGGTTTAATGCTTGGATTCTCTTCAGCAAACAGTCTGTTTTAATACTGATTTGTAAACCACTTCAATTTTCAGAAATTCTCACTTACAGCTTTAATGTGCAGGGTTATGTGCATGTGCAAGGTACTATTAATGCACACTGTAATCTGCTGGAAAAGAATTGCTGGATCTTAGTTTGTAATTTAACTAAGGAACCCATTGCTGCAGGCTGCCATTGAAACATAGAGCTCCACTGAAACATGGAGATCCCTTACCTTTCTTGCGAGCCTTGGCAATATTTCTCAACACTGAAATTAACTTGAATTAGAAAACTAAATTCAGTAAAATTAGAAATAAAATTGCCTGGACTATTGCCTCTTGTCCTTTGATATTAAAGATACTCTCAAGTTGGGCTGAGAAAAGAATCTCTTTTCCAGCTCCACAGATAAAATGTCTGTTAACAGATAAGGGTGATTTAACTGGTTTTTTGAAATGTCCACTGCTGCCAGTTACAGGGTTAGCCTACTCTTTGGGCCATTTTTCCATTCCACTGTGAACAACCTTATTTCTCAGATTTTGCCAAACCTCAAACAATAGGACAAGTGTTAGGCATCACAGTTCACCCCCTCTCCTAAGCTGGGTAGGCAGCAATGACAGAAACCAAATGAAAGTCAGGCAAGAAACAGGAAACATCTGCTCCTATTTGTCTCACCCCCACTAAGACTTATCTTATTGCCCAACGCAGTGGATATGCTGTGAATGAAAATCATATTGGAACAATAGCTCTGAGGGGATGCTTCACTTCATAACTCTGCTGGGACGTGCCTGTAAACTGCATCGTCCAAATCTCTGGGAACGTTTAATTACTAGTAAATGTTTTTCACTGTAGTCTTTGTTTCATTCCTGACTTGCTGTGAGAGGGATGTTAGGGAGTTAGGAGGATAGCTTTAGCAGTGACAACATCTGCTGCTGCACAGTGGGTATCACAAGATATAGGAATGTCTGTTGTTCTCTATTTCTTCTTTGCAGTCTTGTGTGTTCTGAAGTTTCTTTCTGCATCTTTCTGTCTGTTTATGTCGTGGTGCTTGAGCATCAAGAGATAACAGCATATTTCCTCTGAGAAATTTTCTTCAAAAGGGTGGCTGTGACAGTGTAGTGGTCACTTGAATTTTAGTCTTTCTTTTGGGGCTTGGATCTCAGCTTAGCAGTGTAACTGCACATTGTACAGAGTTGTGAAGCTGTGATTTTTTGTTTTTTGTTAAGGAATGCCAATATTACACATTTTGCTCAAAGTGTAAAAGGACATGGAGGATTTCAGCTGGTTGGTCAAATATTTTTGGGTGGGGACAACCTAACCAACCCTTCTAAACTGGTCTATGGTCTCAGGTCAGTTAAAAGGCAGCAGGTATTTGTGTCTGCATCCCAGAGTGTCAGAGTGGATTCTCTGTCCTCGAAACGCCCAGTAACTCTATCTCACTGAAATGGTAGTTTTTCTCTGCTGATGCCATGGAGAAAATTGGGCAATTGACTGAAGACAAAAAAAAGGTGTAAAATTACCTACTTCCTCATTTCATTTATAATTGTTTTATTGTTCGTGATGCTAAACCTATAAAGGTAAGATGTACCTACATAACTGGAATGGTTTTATTGCTAGTCATTAAATTAAGATCACTGTTAACTTTTCATTGTATATATTTTATCAAAAGAGTTTAATATTGATATATTAAAACGTAAATCCAAGGAGCATTTGTTGTATTTCACTTTCAGAGCTGCACTGGTATATATAAGGAAGTATGAATGCATTTACAATGGAGAATTGCATTGCTGAGCTAATTTGCTACACAAGTCTATGTTGAACTTGAATTTCCACCATGTATGTCATCAAGACCTGTTGGTATTTTGTCTTGCCCATAAGCAGAATGGATGGTTCTTTGAAGCAGAAGTTTGCTCTGCATGAATATATCCCCGTCACCTTCTTTGAACAAATCATTGTTACTCTTATTTTCTGCCAAGATTTGACAGTAGCATTTATCTTAAAGAAATAGGGAACAGACCCTTTCTCTTTTTGTGAAGAGAGACAGCAAATTTCGAAGAGTTGTGATTTCAAGAATAGTGCTTTGACTGAATCATCATAATGGTGGAATTCACTGGTGTAGTAGCAGCACTTTGTTCCATCACATTCTGTACTGAGCATAGTGCAAAATGGCCTATGAATGAAACACCCTCCTACCCGTGCGTAGAGGTGGGTATGATGGACAACCCCGTGTGCCCTCCTAGTCATGGTAAGTCTTAAGAGTATATGTGTAGCATCACCAGCTCTCCCTGTGCTGTATTGACTCTTTCCTTCCTCACAGCCCCACTGACTCGTTGCAGGACGTGCCAATTCAAGCCCTAACATGCACTGTTCTCTTTTGCCATCTCCTGCTCTTGGATGTCCTGCTGCCTATCTTGTTTCTGGTGGTGCAGTTCAAACACTAGTCGCTTTACTGCAGCAACTAGTTCTTCCCTGTATTGGAAGCTCCATAATAAGTGTCTTGTAACTTGCATACTTACAACAGGTAGAACATGTTTTGATCAGGAAGAACCTCAGAATGGTTAATTAGTACTGCATAAGTCTCCTGTTCAGCCCTTTCACATGGAAGCTACTGTTGTAAAAAGACTACAGCACAAGAAAGAAAAACAAACTGACAGTGCCAATGAGAGGAAGGATTTTAAATGCCTTAGCCAGAGATAAGACTGAGTATGAATTTCTTCACAATTCTTAATGATTCACATGTTAAAATTTTGCTGGAGCTACTGCAAAGCACGCTAATTTGTTTGTAAACAAGTTTAGCTCCATCTGTGCTGTACAGGTAGTTCTTGCTGTCATAAAGTCTCTTCCATGTACTCAGAGCAAGGAAAAAGAAAGTTCTGCAAAGCCATTATAGAAGAAATGTGTGCTGGAAACTGAGAAAGTCCAATTGCTAACTGCCTTTGAAAAGTTGAGAAGAGCAGAGTAAATACTAGACAGTATTCCACCTATATTGACTTCTTTTTTTAACTATTGGGCTCAGAAAATGTGTTTCTAACTTTGTGTCTTTCTGTAGCACCTGAAAGTTATCCTGTGAGCACGCGGTCACTTCAACCCTCTTGCAAACCTTGGTATACATGGAGACGTGCATTTGCTTAGCAGAAATAGAAACCTTCTGGTTTACTGATGAGTTGAAAGTGTTTTGGTTGTATCTCATGCTGTTGTGAGCATACAAATACACAGTGTAAGTAAAGCTGTTTCTGCGATGCACATCACTGCTGTATGAGCAGAACGACAAATGGAGCATCGCGCTCCTCCTGCTCGAATAAGACCAGTATCTTAGTATTGTAGATAAGCAAATGGAGAGAAGCTGTTGTGTACCCATGGCCTTAGGAGGTTGTGTGGGTAAAAACAGAGTTGAACACCAGTATCCTAAGCCTCTGTTTTAGCAAATTTGCATACAGTGTCTGGGATGTTTGTTTAGAGTTTTGAGTAGCTCAATACCAAGGTAGAGGACCGCTAGCCTTGACTTAGTGTCAGCATGCTTCAGCCTGTTCTGGCTTAAAGCCATTTAGAGACATTCCTGCTGCACTCTGTGTAATTTCAGCCTGATGGAAAAGGCTGTAATGCAGTCCCACCTCTGCTGATCTTCAGGATTCCCCTGTCTGCAGCTTCTCATGGTTGCTTTGAACGTGAGTTATGTTTCCCATTAAAGGATAACAGTGACAATTGATGCAATTAAGTGGAGTGGCGTGGAGCTAGCAGAACACAGGGAGTTTTCCAACTGAAAACAGACAGCACAGCTCAAAGTTATTCCCTACAAAGTTGCCTATTTGCTGTTTTCATTTGTCTGGAAAAGGATCCAGTAATTCCACTTCAGATTTCTCTTACTTGTTCCACTTGCCTGTTTTCTTGCCTAAATAGGAAGTGTTCCTGTTCAGTCTAGAATAAAAGCTCTACAATAACTGTAGTCTAAGATCAATGCAACTTGGTCATGGTTTCATTAAGTCTATGATCTTGAATCAGTGCTCAGTACTAGGCTGTGTGAACAGGAAAGACAGCAGGTAAGATGGGCAGGTGGGAATAAAGTGTCTGTAAAGAGAAATAATTGGTGTTGTGACTATTTCTGCAGAATTATAAGAAAATACTAGAAGAATTATGATATCATCTGTTGGATTTGTAGCCTAAATATCAGTTGGTTGGAGGGCTGGAAAAAGATGAAAGCTGGATCATTTGACAGGCAGATGTGAAATGCTTAGAATATACAGAACCATGTAAGTTTTTTTCTGGTGTGTGATTGAGGTTTGTTGCTGTTAATGTTGCTTTGCTTTTAAGGATGAATCTTAGCTCTTTTACCCCCGCCCCTATTCTGTGCAGCAGTGAGAACCTGGAAAGTTAATGACAAAGCTTGGACCAATGGTAAAGTGCTGCTCATGGATATTCACCTGCCCAGGATGAACATCTCACTTTCTACAGTTGATCTGGGTGATGAATCCCTTAGGAAGATGATAGTCCAGAGAAATGCTGCTTCTTACCTGATGGTCTGGCCATCTGAAAAGTCACTGGCCTTTCTTTGTGACATCTTTCTTCAGAAGAGAGGGCCAGGTCTCAGCTGCATGCTATAGATAGTTCTGGGTGCCTACAGCTGGTGGGGAGCAATACCCCATTTGCCACATTTCATACAAAGACAGACAGGGGAAAAGGTTGGAAGCAGAAAGGACCATGAAATGAGATCCAGGAATTCAGCGAGGCTGCAGCAGAAGGAGCTCATTGCTAACTCAGAGCATGTGTCTTTGCCCTGTGAGTAAGTTACGAACTGACAAGCAGGCGAAAGTGGAAGATCCTTTCACAAATAATAAACACTTGTTTGCCTCAGATTAAATGCAACACCTTTACATGTGGGCTCCATCTGGCCATAAATAGGTGCACCTTGCACGGCTGTTACCTTTCATGCCGGAGAAGATTATTGTACATACATCTGCTTAAAGGTTAATAACCCGCTTTTAAAAAAAAGGAAGAAAAAAATGGCAAATCTGTTTAGTTTACAGGAAGAAAGAATTGTTTTTCATTAAAACTGCCTGAACTGTGCCCTGCCTCAAAGTCATATTCTTCAGCAGGTAAGGAACGTGTTAACCTGGGTGCTGTAGCCACATCTCCCAGCAAGAAATGTTGCCGTGTGTTATAAGCAACTTCTGTAAAGCTAGTGGGAAAATGTAGCTGCAGCAAAAGGTGGTGGGCTTCTCATCTGTAGAGTTAATGAGGTGACTTTTTAGTTCTTTGGCAGCATTCAGGCCAGGAGCGATTTCTGATGTAAACCCATACAAGCAGGATGTTACTGAAACTGGCTTTATTCTCTCAATAGTCAGAGCTTTGCCAACATCTGGAGAATCTGTCTTTGAGTGCTTGGGGAGGGAAGGAATTTTTCTTCTGCAAGTGAGAGGAATGGATAAGCTTGCAACAGCACCTGTGTTATCCGTTTCTCTGTGAGATGGAAAACAGTCCTGTTCCAGCTGAACCGAGCTGGAGCTCCGCGCCAGCTGATGGAAAGCTCGGCTATTCTCAGTGGGTTGCTGGTGTTTGCTGGGTGCCTCCTCAGCTCTGCCTGCACAGGGGGCACATTCTGGTACACAGCTGGATGCGGGGGCCTGAGCTTTTACCCAATCTGCTTCTGCCAGTGCTGTGGAGTTTTCCCCACCTGAGAATGAGGTGTGGGCCATAGGAATGGGTGTGTGCGGAGAACCTCTGGGGCTGAGGGAGAGGCCAAGCCCGGGGGTTCAACCTGCCTACAGCCCAGCAAGTCCCCATGTGGGCTGGAGTGGACGTGGGGAGGCTGTTGGGATGCTGCTGCACCAGGCTACGGGCTGGCGGCCATCTCTTTGTAGGGCAGGGGCAGCGGGCCCGTGAGCTGCCACCTGTTGTTAATCTACCCCCGGCTAATCCATTCTGCACTGTGTCAGCAGTTCAAAAGGGCACTGTTAGTATTTTTTGCCAACTTCAATTAACGTGAGATTTTGGAGGCCCCTCTGATCGCGTTTCATCTGTCATGAGTCAGGAACAAAACAGACAGATTCCAGTTGAGAGGAGAGAAGAGAAGGAGTTTATTGCAAACCAAAACAACAACAACAGTGCTTGTACCTCCGCGGCCACGGGGGCTCGGGAGCGGGGGCCTTCCCACCAATTGCACCCCTTTAAAAAACTGGAAAAATAAAAATTAGTGCCCGGAAATCCCAGCCCTCCCCTCCCCCCAAACAAACAAACAAACAAAATAAAATGGAAGCTGCAAGTGCAATAACTTACTTTGAAAAAAAAAACATGGAAAGGACCAAGCTGCAAGTCTGTTTGTTCTTTTTTTAATGTTCCACTGTAATGAACTGCTAATACATGGCTGCATAGGCATTAACATTGCATGGCACAAACCTCACATGGCAATGTTTTTAATGATTTTTTTTTTATTCTTTTTTTTTTCCTGAACTTTTAAAAACTTTTAAATTTTGTTTTAATACGTTCTACCCCAGGCCTTTAAGCTAAAGGAAAAAAAAAAAAAAGTTTGTGTTTATACAAGGTTACAATATCTTACAACAAAAACAATAATATTGATTGAGGTTTGTTTTCTTTCTTTCTCCCAGTCTCTCTTTCAAACACTGCACACCTAAACTGATATATTATTACACATTGAAAACTGTCCTTCAAAAAATCAGTAGTACAAAAGTCCTAGCTCTACCTACCTACCTAGCAATGTGGGGAGTGGGGCACCAGCAAAGAGCTAGCGGGTTGCCAGGCTGCACCAGGCTGCCTCCTCCTCTGGCCCAACAAGGGCTGGGGGTGACTTTCAGCCCAATTCCTCCCCCTGTTCCCATTTGGGTTTAATTTCTAATTCGGTCTGTTTGCTTTCTGTTGTGTCAGTCAGAGCAGCAAAATAAACACAGATCTCTGTGTCTGCCTGATTGTTTTTTAAATCCTTTTCCAGGAAACTACCTTTTTGGCTTTGTTTGTTTGGAGAACGTTTTACAAGGCGCTGCTCTGCTCTGTGAGATGGAACCCGGCCTCTCCCCACCCCCAGAAAGCCCCCATTGCCAAAGTGCCCCCCGCATCCCTCTCCCCAGGGGAGTGCTGCAGGGGGTGCCACGCACGTGTGCAGCAGCTCTGCCGCCTCACGCACAGCGGTGTCCGTGCGGGTAGCTTTACTGCAGTGCCCCTGCCCGTATCCCAGGGCCAGATGTGCTCCAGCACACACAGCAGGAGATGCTCAGAGGAGTCAAAGGGCTGAGGGGACAGCAACTGGGGGAGCTGTGGGATGTTCACCACTGGTTTGCAGCTGCTGCCAATACATGCACAACTGCTCTGAGCACTCGGCAGCCTGCAGCACGCATCTACCGATCAGCCCCTGTTGGAAACTGTGCTGCTCTCCCTGCTTGCCTTTCTTAGCCCCAAAATCTGGGATGTCTCATGTGTTTCTAGCCCTGGGCAATGTAAGACAGCCTCCTTTGCTCCCTCTGCAAGGCTGGAAAGGGCAGCTTGAGAGCAGGGGAGCTCAGGGTGCTGAGGCTGCAGTGCTGCACCATGCAGGACACAGCATGGCTAGGGAGGAGGGGTGAAAAGCTTGCAGCTTCACAGGCATCTAAATCCCAGCCAGGGAACTGCAATTCTGTGTATGGACAGGAGTGAAATACTAAAGAAGAAATAAATAGAGAAGAAAGTCATAAATAGAGTTGAAAGGTATTAAAATAATAATAATTATTATTTAAAAAGGCATCCTTGTGGTAGCTTGAAATTGCAAGAACAGCACTGACCCTGTGACCCTTAAAAATGCATTGGCTGCAGTTTGGCTAGATTAAAATATATATATTTATACACACATATATTTAAGTGTGTGTATATATATATTTGTACAGGTTTTCTTATTAATTTAACAGCTAGTTTAAAAAAACTATTAAATTAATTTTAAAATATGTGTAACTACAGATGCACACAGCTGGAGACCTGCCTGCGTCGCTGCATGTCCAGGCTGTTGCTGGCAGGACGATGCAGCAGAATGGCAGATGCAGAGGGGCTATGCTGGTGAATGGCAGCAGAGTGGGGCACGGGAGCAGAGCTCTGCACTTGCAGTGCACCCAGCAGCTCAGGGCTGGGCATGCGTGGCAGTGATTAGGGTTGTCTGAGGCCAATTCACGAGGAGGAAAGGAAGCAGATCTTCATCTCATGAGCCGTTATGCAGCCTGGATGAAATCCTGGCCCTGTGAGGCAGGAATGCCCTTCAGCTTCAGTAGAGCATAGCAAAGCCCCAGCACGGCCCATTGCCACACAGTGGGACAGCCAGCAGTACCCACGCCCTTGCGGCATCCATCCCCATGCACCTTCTCAACCTGCTGCACCCTGCTCAGTTCTGGGGCTGAGCACTGCAGTGGAATGACGCCTTTCCCTCTACACTGTGGGAAAAGGGCTCTGGGTGAGGAAGTCTGGGTTAAGGTACAAGGTGGTATTCATTGCAGTTTAAACATTATTGCCAGTGCATGCAGAAAAGAGATATTAGGGCAGATCCAGAGCCATTCAGTAATCAGCACCTGAAGCACATTTTAGTCTGATAACTCAGCTGAACATTCAGGCTGGGACATGAGTCTGGTTTGCTTCTGTGGAAAAGCCCAGGTCATCTGCATAATCTGCTTGACTGCAAATTGTTCCTGAGGAGCACCAAGCCAGGCATCTCAGTGTGTTTTCTGAGACAAGATACAGCACTACAGGTCTTTCCATATTGCAATAAGTACATGTTACATTTGATCTAGCATTGATATAATCATCTATGTTGTGTGTGGTAATGCCTAGGCACTGTAGAAATATTTCTATATGGCATGCAGTTAACCTGCATCATGGCATTTGGTTGTAGACTTTTTGCAGCCCTTTGCTGCAAATCTCTCTGGACCTAGAGTGGATGGAGCACGATGCGATGGCTGTATGGGGCAAAACCCTGTACTTCTCTTGCTCACTGAGCTGGAGCTCAGCCTGTGAGCTGAGTTCTATGACTGCTGGTGACCTTCGGTGGGGCAGAAGGAAACTCTGAAATTATTCTTGGTGCTATGACGCCACTGAATGGCTTGAGAGAGCTTTGGCCTTGGAGAGGAGACTGTACTAAACAGAGTTGTGCAAGTGGGAGCACATGGGGAGAAAACCATTGGTGGGACTTTAGGAGAGAGAACAAGTTCTGGTGTTTCCTTCACTCTGCTAGGTGAGGGTGAACTGGAGTGGCCAGAGATGGGGCAGTGCCACTACCCTTGATCCCCAGCCCTCCCCTGCCCTGGAGGAGGTGTAGGCAGGTGCTGGCAGGTGGCTTTGGGGAAGCAGAGAATGAGAGGCGATGGGAAGAGACTTAGCTACATGGGGCAGGCTAGGGACAATGTGAGGATGCCCTCACACAGCCCTGGCTGAGTGCTCTGCTCAAGCTGTTCCTCTTCGGGGGCCCTGTTGGACTTGAGAGCAGAGGGTAGTGACTCCTAGCCCTGTAAAAGCCAGGGAAGACATTTTGCTACGACGCAACAGCCACAACTGTAACAGAGCAAACTCTAAGTGCTCAGGGGGATGTGACTTCTGCAAGGTGCCATCACTTCATATGCACATCTCGAGCTGGATGGCTGGGGAGCCATCAAAGACAGCAGCGTGGTGGCACTGTGCCTACACAAGAGGCCCCTAAGCTTCGTACTTCAGCTCCTACTGGGTGGAAGGAAGTGGGATAGCACTGCCACCTTTCTGGCCTTGAGTATCCCCTCACCCCATTCAGCCATGGCTCCCATGAGGCAGGAGCAGTCTGAAGAGTGTCTCTTTGCTGGTGCCAGAGTCCCCATCCTGTCCCCTGTGCAAGGCAGATGGGTTCTGAGGAGGGTAGAGCTGTACATGTGGAGGGACGGGGCAGCTGCTGGAGATGCTGGTGGGCTCTTGCTCTCCGGAAAGGCAGATCTGGTGTCAGAAAAAGGAGCAGGGAGAAAAGGCATCCAAGTCCCCGGGGAGGCAGTGGCGATAGCAGAGGACACCCCCAGAGCAGGGGACAGCAGCGCTGCCCCACAGCCCTGACCCAGTGCCGGGAGGCTGGGACCTCCCATGTCCGTGCTGGGCACACGCCACTTACGTTCACACACGTCCTCTATACACCTAGGGTAGCTCAAAGTGCTGCGTTCACATCCCCGAGGAGGCAAGGGCTGGCTGGAATCCCAGCTGGAGGTCTCCCAGCTTCCCCACTGGCTCTCGCGGTGTGCCGAGGCGCTGGACGGCAGCCCTGTCATGTCGCCCAGGAGATCGCGGCGCTGTGCTCCTTCGCCTTCATCCGCAGGGCCGCGATGCTGGAGCTCTTGCGGTCCGGCTCGCTGTTCAGCTCGTAGCCATTGAGGCCGGGGCCGATGCCGGCTGTGCCAAAGAGGCCACCCACGTGAGTCTGGCCCACGTGGCCACTGGCACTGGAGACACCGAGGAAGTCGGAGACACCGCCAGCCGCGTGGGGATGCGCGTGGGGGGACATGCAGGAGGGCACCGGCTCACAGGGGACGACGCAAGCGGGCACAGGGGAGGCTGCTCCGTTGTTGCCAATCCAGGAGGGGTTCTGGATCTGTGGGGAAAGAGATGCATCAGGGCGTGGGGAAGGACAACACCTTGGACCTTATGGGATGTTTGGAAAACACAGTGCACAGTGGATCTGAGGCCCAACAAGGCTTGGTGGCTGCTGTGGTAGCTGTGATCCAATGGGGCTCAAAGGAACACTACAAGGCACTCACCTGAACAACTGCTGTACCTTTGCTGCTCAATGGCACAACCCCATGCTCCTGCATCCCAACCCGAGGGCAGGGGATGAACCCCAGTAGCAAAGCATGGCTTCGGGGGCTCCAGGAGCAGGGCAGTGATGAACAGACAGATGGATTTGGGCAGGAGATGTGCTCACCTGGGCATAGTTCTCAGCACGGGTGAGCAGAGGCAGCTCATAGGCAGTGGAGAAGTGGGTCCGGACCTGCTGCATCTGGCCAAACCGCTCCCGCTTGCGCCATTTGGCTCGTCGGTTCTGGAACCAGACCTGTGGGGAGATAGGGGTGTGGGGCTGTTGAGCACAGGGCATGGAAGCCCATGGGGCCAGGAGCTTTGAGCAGCCTGGTCTAGAGGAGGAGCCCAGCCTTGGCCTCTGCCCTGCAGCCAGCTCTGCCCTGGGATGACCCAGCTCCCCCATGCTCAGACAAGGAGCAAACACATCTGTGTGTGCTTGTGCCAGGCTGGGACCTGCGGCACTGGGGCTTTCCCCAGGTTCAGTCCTGGCTGTGAAGATGCTGTTGGCTGAGAACTTCTATTTACTACTGAACTCTCAGTCTTCATTAACTGTTTCAAAAAAAAAAAAAGAAAAAGAATAAAGAAGGTTTTCAGTGCTCCTCTCTGTCTTAGCTTCTGGAAACAAGTGCACTTCTATGAGTTGCATGTCCTCTGCTTTGCAGCTCTTGTAGCTCTTCAGAGCACTGCTCAGATGCCTTTGAGGCAGTGGAAAGACCAAAACTCTGTTTCTGCTCTTATTTTTACTGGCTTGACATCAGTGTGGATTATTGCACTGTTGTCAGCAGCATTGCTCCTGATTTGCATCAGCATAAGAAAGATCAGAGCCTGGCCCAGTGTCTTCAAAGCCTCTTGAAGCCTGTGAGTCAGGGAAACACATCAATCACGAGCTGCTTTGAAGGCACCGAGCGATGCATGCGATCACCAGGGGCTGGGGTGTGCAGGTCACGCCAGCACATGAAGGAAGCTTCTTGCTTCTGCTTCAAGTTTTGCACGGTGACTGGAGCTGGGGGACTGGCATCTCACTTCAGTGATAGCACAGAGGAGCCCCTCTGGGCTGCTCCTGTGCTCAGTGAGCCGGGCAATGAGCATGGTGCAGCTTTCAGACTAGAAGAGCATTTGCAGTGTCAGCTCAGCTAGAAACTAGTCTAGGAAGAAACCAGCACAAGGATTTGTGCTTTCTGAGGATGGCCTATGAGTGCAATTTCCACCCCGCAAGGATTTCCAGAGGGTGCAGTTCAGCAGAACAGTCCTAATATCACGCCAGCTGAGAGCGCTGCACATGAAGAGCATCCTGCAGGAGCACACTGGTGCCCCAGGCATCCATCCGTCTGCTTTTCCTCTGCCTCATCTTGGCACGGCCACCCCAGCCCAGCTGCGAGCCAGTCCCAGGGCTGGCTGGGATCGTTCCGCTTTGATCTGTAGGCTCACAGCCAGCGGTGCTGACCTGGCTCTTCCCGGGGCGGCGGGGCCCTGCTGTGCACAGCGGGTGCCTGCAGGTAGGCAGCGTGGCGTGGGCTGTGCACGGTACTGGGGCTGACATATGCCCAGCACATGTGGCCAGATCCCTCCTGGCAAGCATGCTCACCTGCACTGCCCTGCTAGGGACTGACCCCAGCAGGGGCCAGCAATGGCCAGGCAAAGTGGTTTAAACCAGGCTCAAAGCGCAAGCTGGGAGGCTGGGGCAAAATATCTGCATGGCCCCGTGAGGCTGAAGGGCACCTGCAGGCAAGGTGCTGGGGGCCCAGGGCATGGAGATGCTCCCTGCCCTCTGTGCCCCACTGCTTCTTGCAATCAACTGCTCCAAACAGTTGTTCCACTTTTAAAAGCTATCATTTTTCCTTGAGAATAAATGATTTTCAGGCTGCTTGGTATCTTCCTGTAGGATTTCCCCTAGCTTCCTTGAATTCAGAAGGTACCAAAAGAAGAAATCTAGAAAATAAAACTGAAAAACACCAAGTGTGCATTTTCTGTTCATTACCTGTCACCTTCAGCTGAGAGATGGTGCTGCACCGAGGGGCGCAGTGGCTGGGGCTATGTCTATGAGTGGGGAGAGGGTGCTTGCGAGAATGCTCCTTTTGCACTGTGCCCTGGTGTGAACGAGTAGGGAGGGACTGTGGGCAAGTGTCGTGGATCTGACTCCTGCAGATAGTGCTTTGATAAGCCCCAGTGTATCCAATCAGTCCTATAAAGATCTACAGAACAGAAAATGTTTCGTGTCTCCATAAACATGCGGCCATATGCTGGTACCTCACTCCATATGCACGCACTCTGACACTCCATGGAGGCAGCACAGCGGAAATGAAATGCATTGCTCTCCCCACTGCCCAGCTGGTGCTGCTCTGTGGCTGCCCCCTGGGCTGCTGGAGCCACAACACCACTTAGTGCCTGGGAGTTCCCCACGGCTGCCCGTTGCTTCAGTCCTAATGCCAAGTGAAAGATTAAAGCAAGCTACCCTCCCTCCTATCTTCCCCTTTCAGTGGCCATTATCCCATCTCTACCCCTTCCTGCCTCTGCTGTTTGTCTCCAGGCCTATCCCAATGCTGATGGCCAGGCTGTGTGCTCTCTTGCCAGAGATGGTCACCAGCCCTTTGCCTTCCAGCCTGCAAGAACAGAGCCAGAATTCATCTCTGAGAGCTGAAACTGGACACCATTTTATCAGTGGCCTGGAATGGGAAATTGGAGCCTGGGATGAGAGAACTGAATAACTTGAGCTTGTTTTCATTTCATGTTTAATTTCCTGCAGGCTTAGCTCAGTCTTTCCGCTCCTTCCACCAGCCTCCCAGGGTTTTATGGGGGAAAAGGGATCAAGATATATTACTTCTTGCTTTGCTTTTTCTTTTTTCTTTTTTTTTCTTCTCCAAGGCAGTGATTTCTCTACAGCCAAGTTTGACATTTCCCTCTCACTTTCAAGCCCCTGCCGCATCACAGGGGCACCACTGAAAAGATCTCCTTAGCAGTCCTAGCAATCGGAGTGCTGGCTCTGAAGGGGGATAGAGGAGGCATTGCACTCCCCAGGCACAAATCCCCATCATCTCATCCTGCCCCATCCCTTCTGCCAGGGCTCTGAATGGTGCTGCTGGGGAGGGACAGCACTGCCTGGATATGGAGGAAAGCCAAGTATGGGGATGCTGCTAGGTGCCCACCCCAGCCCGTACAACTGACAGGAGCCTCTCCGCATTCTGTTGAGATGCAGCCACAGCTGATATGAGGAGAAACAGCTGTAGGGAAGAACATGGAGCCCTGCAGATTGGTCTGGACAAGTGGGTGAAAAAAGTCCTGCAGCTAGGAATGAACCTAGAATTAATATGCACAGGGATGCTGGCCTAGCTGCTTTGTTTGTGACAAGTGCTTGCAGGGTTCAGAGCAGAAAGCAAGCAGGATTCCTGGTTTGAGAGGTATAACCAGATTTCTTCCCACTCCAGATACTCCTGATGCTAATGTGAGTTGTAGAAGTGGTGGTGCAATGAACACCTGAATACAGGAGTCACAGAGTTAACCAGATGACAAAATGATGTCCTAGCTTCCCAGCAGCCTTACGTGGCCATCAAAACATGAGTTATAGATATCCGCTCTGAGCAGTGGTTCTCTGTTTTGCCTATGCTTCTAAGCTCTGCTAAGCCTTTGGGTTAATATTGATTCAAGGGAAAGAGAAGAATTTAAACTCTATTGTTTTGGGGTTTGGCTGGGTTGGACACCCAGGTTAGCAGCAGGGAGCTGACACCTTGCTGGTGGCAGCTGTGAGACTGCATCACAGCCACTCATCTCTCCTGGCCCTCTGAGGCAGAGGGATTCACCCAGCCCATTGCCCCTTCAGCTCAAAGACAAGGGGCTCAAGGCTCACCTACCCCTATCCCAGCCCAAGGCATTGCTGTTACCTGTACTCGGGCCTCAGTGAGGTCTGTCCTCATGGCTAGCTGCTCCCTGGCATACACATCTGGGTAGTGGGTCTTCTGGAAGACTTTTTCCAACTCCTCAAGCTGGTAGCTGGTGAAGGTGGTACGGTTCCTCCGTTTTTTGCCCTTGTTGCTCTCCGAGTCCGCCTTGTCCATGGGGCTGGGGAGGTCCGTGTTGGCCCTGTCCTGAGGGACTTTCACTCCAGCCTCCTTCACGCTGAGGTAGCTGCTGTCCATGCCCGAGGGGTCAGCGTTGGGCTGCAAGTCAGCCTCTCCCAAGCTGCTCTCCTTACCTGTTTGGTTTGGAGGGAGAAAGAGGAGAAAATTTGTATAAATCTTATGGCTGATTAACTGTTTCGACTGACAGCTCCAACAGTGGGAAAAGCCTTTAATAGAAATGAACAGAAGGTGACAGGGAGAAGACACAGGGAAAATTAGAGTCTGTGTTTGGGACAGGGTACAAGGGGTACTACACTATGAGCATATGTCCCCACATGTCCCCACATCCTGGTTGCACTCCAGGCAACCCCACAACCTGCTGTGAGGACTCACACTGCCACTGGCAAAGCAGCGCCCAGCACTACACAGAGGGCTAATGTAGGACACCTGCAGAAAGCCCCAGTCTGGTACAGGATAGAGAAACACTGCCTTCACCTTCATCTCCTGCAGAACCTACATAGAAAGGCTGCAGGAATGCTTTCTGCTCAAATCCTCCTTACCAATGAAAGAACACAACACCTTGCTTGTTTTTCTTTTTAAGATTTCGTATTAGCTTGCTTTTAAATGTGCCCAGCAACAACCTTTCTGGGAAACAATTCCACCCTATGAGGAGCTTTCCTTTGGGATAATTTTGCAGTGTCACTTCCAAGGTCATTTATCCAGAAATCTTTGCCAAAGTGTCTGGAAATCCCTATTTTTTTTTCAGCATTTATCTTCTGTTATAACTTTGTTCAGCCTAATTCATCACTTATGTGTAGTTCTGCTGTTTGGGATGAAATGGGGCTAATGCTCTTGGGCATAAAGGCAGAAAGTTGAGTGTGGGAGGATAAGACATGAAAGGACTTTGAGAAAGAAATTGCCTAGTTAGTGCAGAAAAGTGGCCAGGACTGGCACTGATGGTGGAGGTGTAGGAGCTATTTGCCTCTACCATTCTAATGGATTTTCATTGCTGCTCTCTCAGACTCTCGAGGTGCTCAAACAAGCTTCATGTTGTCTGTCATCCTCTGTGCTTTGGTATGGTTCTTAGGAGGATTCATCATGCTGGGCACTGAGTATATCAGTCACATGCTATACCAATGATACTTATTAATTCATAGAATCACAAAATCATTAAGGCCTGAGAAGACCACTAAGATCACCAAGTCCAACAGTCAACCCATCGCAACTGTGCCCACTAACAAGATTCCTCAGTGACACACCTACATGGTTCTTGAGCACCTCCAGGTGACTCCACCACCTCCCTGAGCAGCCTGTTCCAATGCCTCACTTCTCTTTCTGAAAAGGTTTTCTTAACATCCAACCTCAACTTCCCCTGGCACAACTTGAAGTCATTCTCTCTCATACTATTACTGTTACCTTCATTTCTTTTTTTAATTTAGTAGGTCATGAAGCTGGGTGCATTTCCATCCATGCCTTCGTGCTGGCTGCCTCCAGTGCTCCCAAGACCCCTGCAGCAGCAACACGCGCCCTGATGCCAACCCTTGGTGGCTCCCCGCTATTTCTCACCTCTAGTGCTCAGCCACTGGCTGTCCACAGGCAGAAGAAGGGCAGGAGGTGGCCCACAGGGATGGCATGCATCTCCCTTTGCTCCACATCCAGAGGAGCAACTGCCATTCCCTGGGAACAGGATCCCTGACCTCAAACCAGTCATGCTAAATGCTGAAGTGAAACAAATTGCATACATCTGCATATGGATATGTCCAGACTTCCTGTAACTGGAGATGGCCTCAAAGCTTCAATGCAAAGATCGGGGTGTCTGTTTCTAATCAAATCTAACGAGACCTTGAGTTACATGTTATGAAGATCTCCATGACAAGATGGTAATGCAAGCATTGCTACACCCTTACAAGCCTGACAGAACTGCTCAGTGCCTCCTCTGCTACTCCTGGCTCCTCCCTCACTCTCATTGTGGTGGAAGGAAGCTTGCTGTCTTCTCCCAGCGCCCCATCTATCTGCAGTGCCACCAGCACTGCCATGCCTGAGTCACCCACCAGTGGCGCCAGCAGGCAGCATGGGAGAGCCAGGCTTGTGTGTTCCCAGCATTGAGATGCTCTGCCATAGTTTATTTCTGGATCCCTGCACAAAGGGAAATGTCTTTTTGGTGCCAGCACATATTTTTATGGGACCTCAGGTGGGAGAACCCATAGCACACTGTGTGCTTGGACACTGTGGTGGCCAGGTGACCCTGCAATGATCCCAGTATGTCCATTGATCCCTCCCCACAAGGAACAGGCTTCTAGCCACACTGTGGGTTCACAGCACGTATCTGGATTGTTCCTAACTGGCTGTTTTGGAAAGATGAGGATGTAAAGTCTTCTCCGTATACAAACAGAACCATGAAATTTAATTTGAAGTCAATTCAGCTTGGCACATCCACATGGCAGGGGAGAGCAGGGCGTCTCCAGTGTGCACAGCAGCATTGGGCTCAGCTCAAAGCAATGTCTCCTTCACACAGCATCTGCTGGGATTCCTCTGAGCAAAGGCAGATCCCCACAAGGGGAAACAGCAAAGCACCCCATAAGGCTGCAAGACACCCACATGGTCAGCACAACCCACAAACACTGCTGGCACATGGCTGTTTCCCCAGTGCACTCTGTTGGCAGCATATGGTTTGATGCTTCAGTAGCAGCCCTGAAGTTCAGTCCTAGCACTGGCAGCACCAGCTGCATCTCTTACTGAGAAGGAGCTGCAATACCATTCAGACTGCAAATCTTCAGGACCCCATCAACAGCAGTAATGCTACAGTCCTGGTATCTTTCTCCATACATGGTGAAACTGTTCTGCTGCTTTTCCAGGTTGGCTGTTGCAGCCTCCTGCCTGCTGCTGCAGCCCAAGAAGCACAAGGCTATCATTTAAAAAAATATTCACATTTGGGGTTAGATATGAATAAAGAAGCCCAGCTGCTCCTTTTTAATCCTTCATTAGTAGGAAGGAATCTTGAGGTTTATTCCTGTAAGGGAGCAAGCACTCTGAGGTCTACAGATAGAAAGATGGATTCAAAGATGGAGAAAAGATGCAGAATTTTGTGTCTGGCTCTAGAATCACTGATTTTATTAGCAGTGAGCAAATAACCAAACCTCCACACTGGGTCACAGGTGGAACACTAAGCATCATCCCTCTCCTAAATGCAAGAGGTGGAAGTCCACATGAGGAGTTACCACTATAACAACTGCAGTGCCCTTGCTGCTGGTGGGAACTGAGTGGAACACCTCCATTCCCACTCCAGATAAGGACAAGCACAGCTCCTTGCGCCCAGCCTGCCTGCAGGTCCCTGGAGCCTGCATGAAGCTGAGCAGTCCCCATGTGTATACCCACCTATCACACAGACCAGAGCCTTGCATGTGAGTACAGCGCTTTATTCCCTGAGTAGATGAATTTGCACACCCCTTGGCTACATACACAGAGCTCAGCATCAGCTCCAAGAGTGCACCACGCACTGCTTGCTCCTCTCTCATGATATTTAAAGGACACTAACAAAACTGGCTTTTACAGAAATAAATCTATTCCATCAACTCTGAATGGAAGCTGTGGCTGGAGCAAAAAGGCACAGTTTATGCCCCAAATCCTTCTCTGTGAGACACACCCATCTGAAGAGCAGGAAAGAGCTGACAGCAGATTTGGAAAGCACAGAAATGGTTCTGCTGCCATTGCAGCTCTCCTACTGGCTACCAGAATGCAGCACAGGAAAAGAACTGGAGCAAGAGAATGCACAGCCATTGCCCTTGCTGGGAGCGTATGAAACTGCTGGGTTGCATGCCAGCTGCTTCACCTCTGATGGTGAAAGGAGATGAAGGTATATGCTAGATACTGGAGTTGGGGATCTTGCCTCTCCTTCATGAGTCCGTGTATTCTCATTGACCAGGCTCTCTTATCTTTAGTGTTGGAACACCTACACTGATGGCAGTGACAAAAGCACCCTGGGGACATGCTACTCTGCCTTGTCGGGGGCAGGAAGGATAGCTTTTCAAGTGGCAGTGGAGGGAAGTGACAGTCAACAGTGCGTGGCTCTGGGCAGCCAGACCCAGGTGATCCCACAGAGATAGCTCAGTGCTTAGAATGATGAAGGCTATCAATTGTAGAATCATAATGGTTGGGAAAGACCACTAGGATCCCCTACTCCAACCATCAATCCTTCACCATCATGTCAATTAACCCACATCCCCAGTATTCCAGGCTATATGCAAAGTCCAACTGGAATGTCTGTGGATTTGTGCTACACCCTACTTGCAATCTCCTCCAAGAAGTATGCACCTGTAGCAAAATCTACCCTGCCACTCTAAACCTAGCCATCACCAACAAATGTTTGCTCAGGAAGGGAGATAAGGCAGACAAGGACCTGCAGACAGTTTGGAAAGACTTACAGATTCCTTTTGGCCCTGAATTTGATACCTGTAGAAGTGGTCTCCTTCTTCCAAAGCATTTCCACACTGTCTCAGTCATAGACTCACACCTGCACACCAACCAGTAGCTATTTATTTGGATTTTATCCCCAAAGGGTCCACAGACCCTTAGAGGTAAGTGAGGCACCCCAGTGTGAGGTGAGATGGGCTCCCCAGTTTGTGAGATGCTTGGAAAATGGAAAGCTGAAATAAAAACAGAAAACACCCAAAGCTGGCTGAACCTCACTGAACCACAGAAAAGGCTGAATTTAAATTTTGGACCAAAGTGTGGGCCAGGTTCTTCAGCATAACAGCTCTGCTGCTTCTCAATTTTATACAGCTGATTAGTAAAGAAAGGCACAGATGAGGGAAGGAAAACATTCGGCCCTTACCAAACGTGCCTGTTCTTGGAAGCACAACTAGAACTTGTTTCCATTCTCACTGCACATCACAAAACTCAGGGCCAGCCAGGTCTGGGAATTGCTAACGTTCCACCAGGCTTTTGTAGGCACTCCAGAATGAAATTAGGATTCTGGCTACCAAACCAAAATTCACAGTCAGTGGGGATGGGGGGCAGGCAAGGATCAACTCTATTGGCAGAGAGGAGCAGGGCAGCAAAAACACAAACTGAAGCAAAAAGCAGTATAGCTGGAATGGGAACTTGCTGACCAAGAATGAAGATGAAATAACAGTAA